AGAAAAATGCAACAGTACCCCCTCTGAACAAATTCTGCCAATACAATGTCATGATAGGTTCAAATTAGGCTTAGCCTAAACCAGAAATGAATTGAAGGCAAACAATGACAATTGTGTTTCCAACAGAACTCACAACCTCTGAGGATGCCTGCCATAGATGTGGGTGAAACATCAGGAGAGAATGCTTCTGGAACATGGCCAGACAGCCCGGAAAACTCACCAGCAACCCAGTGATTCTGCCATGAAAGCCTTTGAAAGCACGACAATTGCTTCCAGGCCCATTCTTGTGCTAGTCATAGCCTTGTGTTCAGAATGGATAGGAAAGAAGAGAAAGGGACAGAATTATGCAGGATGGGCAAGTCAGTGTTGGTGAAGTATAGACGTCGCAAGATTAAAGCTAGGAAAATAAACACACTTAAAAAGGAGTGGTACCCCTTGAAGACAGCCTTCCCCAGTCTGTTGACCTCTTGGGTCAGCTTACTTGGTATAATTGGAATTTGACTACATATGGGTGGTTTCAGTTTGGGAAGAGTTGAATGCTAGGCCAAATGTATAGTTTGTAACAATCCATTTCCTTTTGTACAATCCAAAAATGGAAAGAGATCTGTATGCGTGTGTGTGTGTTGGGGGGGAGGGGGAGGGGAGTGATGTGGCATTGTCTCTATTAGGTAATGGTAAAAATTTCCCCTGACATTAAGTCTAGTTGTGTCCAACTCGGGGTGGAGGGGGTGGGGTGGGGGGGGTTGGAATGTCATTACCTTCCCTGAGATGCGCACAATGTGACCTATACTAACATTTGCATGTTTTGAACTGCTAGGTTAGCAGAAGCTGGGATTAACAGCAGGAGCTCACCCCACTCCCCAGATTCGAACTACCAACCTTTTGGTCAGCAAGTTCAGCAGCTCAGCAGTTTAACCTGCTGCATCACCAGGGGCCCCCATTGCCTTTATTAATTGTATTAATAATCATAGTCATAATAATTTTTATTTTTTGCCCGCCTCTCCTCACAGCTCGAGGCAGGTTACAACATTGGTAAAACACACATTCCTCTAAAACCAATCTTTAAAATACACATATTAAAACATATTTCCGCAAAATACATATTAAAATACACAAAATAGAGAAACATAAGATGCAAGTTTAAGGACCCTTTGAAATTAATGAAGCAAGTTAGTTCTGACCGAAGTCTTGTGCATGGATCCCACATTATGAATCCCACATCTTCTATATATATAAAAACGCTCTGTGCATAATGAGTACCTTAAAAACAAAAGAACCAATGAACAAAATCACACCAAATTTGGCAACAAAACGTCTCACAACACAAGGAGTGACCATCACTCAAAAATATGATTTTGTCATTTGGGAGTTGTAGTTGCTGGGATTTATAGTTCACCTACAATCAAAGAGCATTCTGAACTCCATCAATGATGGAATTGAACCAAACTTGGCACACAGAACTCCCATGACCAACAGAAAATACTGGAAGGGTTGGTGGGCATTGACCTTGAGTTTGGGAGTTGTAGTTCACCTACATCCAGAGAGCACTGTGGACTCAAACAATGATGGATCTGGACCAAACTCTACACGAATACTCAATATGCCCAAATGTGAACACTGGTGGAGTTTGGGGAAAATAGAATCTTGACATTTGGGAGTTGTAGTTGCTGGGATTTATAGTTCACATACAATCACAGAGCATTCTGAACCCCACAACAATAGAATTGGGCCAAACCTCCTACACAGAACCCCCATGTGGGCCACAGCAACGCGTGGCAGGGGACGGCTAGTTATTTATATAATTTGAAATGATTGTTCAAAAGTTAATATGACTTGAAATTTTAAGGAATCCTATATTTACATTACATTACTTCATAAAAGGGGTGTTGTTATATTGTTATAACACCTAAAAGTAGCATCTTACTTCCAATCTCTTTGAAACTCTTTCCAATATGAGACATGTATCATAAGTGCAATCTACAAAGTATTTCCAACAAGGATAGATTATACTGATCGATACAACAGCATCAGAGATGCCGAACTCCTCTTCCCTTTAGTGTTTTATACTTAGCTATGTATTATGCAAAAGGGGCTTTTGTTCTGCGTCCTTCCTTTATTTGCTAATGGTTTGGTTCTTTCTCGAGCTGATGCGTCTGAGGCTTATTTATGCAATTTCATCTTGCAGAGGATGGCTCAGACCGTATTTTATCACCGATTGAGACTCTGAGTGTATTTTGAAGAATGAGATGGGGGGGACTACTTGCCAATGGACTCTGCCTAAAGAATCATGACTTCTTGTGATACACAGTTCGTTTCGTTAATTCGTAATTCGTTAATAATTCGTTAATTTTTTCAATTACAAAACGATAACGAACCATTCTGGAGCAATTTTTTTAAAAAACGAATTTTTAAAAAGTTTTGTAAATGCTTCGTATTTCGTTATTGTATTCGTTTCGTTATTGTTCTGAGGTCGTTTCGTTATTATTTCCGCATGTCTGGGGCAAGTTTTTTGTTTAATTAGTGAAAAAAAATTATAATATCACACCAACAGTCAACAACAGAGGGAGAGGGAAGCTTCAGAAGGTTTTGGAGGTTTTTTAGCGTATTTCGCGGTCGCGTCCGCCATTAACGAATCGATTCGTTATTGTTTCGGAAATCGATTCGTGAATTTTTTACCATTTACGAAATTTCGTAAATATCGAACTTTTTAAAAGGAAAATTTTGTAATTATTTTAAATATCGAAACAAAAAAAAAAACCCAATACAAATCGATTTTAGAAACAAATTTTTCCGTTGTTACACAGGCCTAATATACAGTACTCTACGATCCCTTATCCACAAATTTAAAATCTAGTTTCACTTACCCACACTTCAAAAAATATTCCCTCAAATTACTTCTGGATGTCTCTAGCTCTTCAGATGTGATTCTAGCAAAGGCATGGGCAAGCTTGGGCCCTCTAAGTGTTTTGGACTTCAACTCCCACAATTCCTAACAGCTTTTTCATTTCCCCCCTCAGCTGCTTAAGCAGAAGGGGCCTGAGGCTGTTAGGAATTGTGGAAGTTGAAGTCCAAAACACCAGGAAGGCCTAAGTTTGTCCATGCCTGTGCTAGCACATGCTTCTGACCAAAGTACAGCCAACACTCCTCCATATTTACTGGATTTAGGTACACAGGACTCCAGTGAAAGTGAAAAATCATGAATTAATAAAGCTGACCAATTGCAACATCCACACATGCCTCAAACAGACAAGAGTTCTTTCTCCCACCCTGCACATTCCACAGATATATAAACTCCACTTGCCTAGTTTCCAACAGACCTGACAACCTCTGCCATAGATGTGGGTAAAATGCCAGGAGAGAATTTATTTATTTATTTACAGTATTTATATTCCACGCTTCTCACCCCACAGGGGACTCAGGGTGGATCACAATGCACATATACATGGCAAACATTCAATGCCACAGACACACAACATATATAGACAGACACATGGAGGCTTTCCAGCTTCATGAAAGTATGCTTTTGAATTCCGGCCACCAGGGGAGCTGTCGCTTCACCATCTACTTCTGACACCGATAGAGTACTTCCTCATTCTTTTTCACATTGCTGGAGAGTTTTATGGCATCGTAAATTAGTCAAATTAGTCTCCCCGCATAAGCGGTACCTAAATTTCCTACTTGACAAATGCAACTGTCTTTTGGGCTGCGAAAGTCGGCAGCAAGCTAGACAAATGGTCAGGAACTTACTCTGACCCAGACTGACTTCGAACTCATGATTTTTTGGTCATTAGTGATTTTAAGGCAGCTGACTCCCAACCATGGAACATGGCCATGCAGCCTGGAAAACTCAAAGCAACCCTTAGATTCAATTTCTCATCCTAATGGGAAGACTGCTAGGCAGGGGATGCCCTGGAAGAGGAAAAGTTAATGGAGTTGTTTTCTCAGGAGGGCTGACAATGGTGATTATAATTCCCAACAATTGGGTTCTGTCCTCAAATTCTTTCTCATTTACCTCCTGCTGTAGCAGAGTAACTCTTAACTATATTAATAATTACTTTCCTTTCTTTCTAATCTGTTTCCATTTTAATTACACCTAGCTTGAACTCTGTGAACCACAGAGAACCCCCTCCTATGTAACTTGAGAGATTCCCTTGAAAGTCTGAAGCATTGCCTTTGGATTTGATTATTCCAAATTGCTTGCAGCAGCATCTGCAGCGATTTGCTCCTTTGTGAATTGGTGAAGTTTAGGTTATACTTAGAATTTTAATCACCTCTCTTAACATTTGATTTCATACAGAGCTAAATTCAAAGGCATAACAGTGGCATCCCTTATATTTAATCTCCTTCAGTGATTAAAAGCACTTGGCTAAATACTGTCTGACCTAGTGCCATATTAATTCTGTTCTGCATGTTTGAGCACCAACTCTTCAGTTTCATCAATGCCCCATTGTGGCCATTTTGTAAAAAGAGACCTCTTTGTTCTCCCCTTTCTGCAATATCTTCACAGAAGAAGAGTGAGCATCTTTAAAACTATGTTATTAAGACTGGTTGGATATACACTGCTTTTTTCCCCTCGTGTCAGGAGCAACTTGAAAAAATGCAAGTCGCTTCTGGTATGAGAGAATTGGCCGTCTGCAAGGACATTGCCCAGGGGACACCCTAAGGGTGTCTGATGTTTTACCATTCTTTTGGGAGGCTTATCTCATGTCCCTGCATGGGGAGCTGGAGCTAACAGAGGGAGCTCAACCCACTCTCCCACTAACCTGAGTTTTGGAATACCAGTGGTATGCATAGGTTTGTAAAAAGCATGCATAATAAATATTGCAGGAATTTTAAATTTGATCTTGTGAACATTTTATTTTTTATATCTAGACAAACATGTTAATATCTGTGTTATCAGTATAAACATTAATCCGTTTTCCTCCTTCGTTTTGTTTTACAGAGATTTTCAACATCCAAATAATTTAAGTATAATAAACAAGCTTTTTTGTCTTTTGTAGGGCATGAACCTGGCCTTGTACAGCTGGTGAACTACTACAGAGGAGCTGATAAACTCTGTCGGAAAGCTTCTTTAGTGAAGTAAGATGTGTGTGTGTGTGTGTGTGTTTGTATGCATGTGTGCACTTGGATGCTTAATGTCAAAGCCCCTCGAGTTACATCCTCCTTTCCTTCTGTTATTTAAATGCTGTGATTGTTTTGATCAAGTACAAGAAAATGTAACATTCGAAACCTTTTATTCTGAAAATAAACAAACAACAACATCCTGTGTTTTGGTTGTAATAACTGGTCCATATTGTATAGAGTAGACCACTGGTATCCATTGGGGTTTGGTTCCAAGACTCCCCATGGATATCAATATCAAAATCTGTAGATGCTCAAGTCCTATTAGATTCAATGATGCAGCAAAATGATATTCCTTATAAAAAGGTAAAGGTTTCCCCTGGTTGTGTCTGACTCTGGGGGTTGGTGTTCATTTCCATTTCTAAGCCAAATAGTTGGTGTTGTCTATAGACACCTCCAAGGTCATGTGGCCGGCATGACTGCATGGAGTGCCATTACCTTCCTGGTGAAGTGGTACCTATTAATCTACTCACACTTGCATGTTTTCAAACTGTTAGGTTGGCAGAAACTGGGCCTAACAGCGGGAGCTCACCCTGCTCACCAGATTTGAACCACTGACCTTTCAGTCAGCAAGTTCAGCAGCTCAGCAGTTTAACCCGCTGTGCCACCGGGAACCCCAAGATATCCCTTATATAAAATGGCGAAATCAAGATTTGCTTTTTAGATTTTCTTAAAAAAATATTCCAAGCTGTGGATGGCTAAATCCATGAATGCTGAATCCATGGATACAGGGGGTCAATTATATAATATATTTTATCTAGAAATCTAATTCTGAGACATGAGAAAATAGACTTGGGAGTGGTATGAGACAGATTTGGCACACACCCTGCTGACATGGTGAGCAATGATCTGTTTTCCTCTCTGACCATTTAGAATTGTCAATGAGAAATCCATAATAAAATAACAGTGCCTTCCTGCCCTTGAGTTCCAGCATTTATCAATGTCATTGTATATAATGGGACTTGAATATCCATTCTTTTTGGGTATCCTCAGAAGGTCCTCTAGAAAGCATGTATAATTTATAGAGAAGGCTTCCACAAACTTTGCTAAAGTTTGCCCAAACCTGGTATAGAAGATCAGTGATTGGGGCCTCTGGAGAACATGTCTATTGTTGGGTAGACTAGGCAATATGGAACCAATAGCTTGAACTCATGACATTGTATGCTAATGAGTGAGGTCCTTTCTCCTCCCAATTTTGTCTGCTGATGTGACTGGGGTAATAACAAATGCAGGAATCAATTTTCTTGCTCAAGGACAGTTCAGGGGCCAGTGAGATTGTCAAGAAAACAAACAAAAACACCCACAGAAGTTATCAAAAATCCACTTTTGATTTGAAAGGCAGGGTAATTTTTTTTAATTTGGAAAAAAGTCAAGACTTGGCTGTTTGAGCAAGCATTTGAAAATGGAACGACTGGATGATGAGATTGGACAATGTTTTAAATAGGAGATGCAAATTATTTATGTTTTATTGATCTCGTTATGGTTTTATATTATAAGTTAATGTTTTTAAATGTTTTAAATGTTTTATGGTATTGTTGGGCATTGAATTGTTGCCTCAGCCTGTGGGCTGAGAAGGGCGGTATACAAATATAGTAAATAAATAAATAATACCTAGCAGATTGAAAACAGTGAGTAGATGAATAGGAACCACATTAAGCAGGGAGGTATTTTAGGCACTGTGTTTTACAAAGAAAGCTCTTTGGCAAGGAGATGGAGCGACAGCACCCCCTGTGGCTGGAACCAAGCATAGCCTCCAAAAATGCTGAATGATGAGAAAAAGCCTAAATATACCTCTATCTGTTTTCTGTCCTGTCATTATGTAATCAGCATTGAATGTCTGCCATATATGTGTTCTGTGATCTGCCCTGAGTCTCCTTCTCCTGAGATGATATAATTACTGTAAATAAATAAATGAGTCTACTTCCAGACAAAGCTGGGCTAAGTGAAATAATACCATACATTACTTTTGCTGCATGTCTGCTGCCAAAAGTAAGTTTCCTTATAGTTATAAGTTGTACGTGTATGTGCCATGTTCAATAGGGCAGTTGCAGTCCATGCTTTCATACCCACTTGCACAAATGCAAAGTGATCCAAGGAATTAGTACTTTTTAGCAATGCAGCGGAGAATATGGAAGGGGACATAAAGCTACAACTTACAAGTTGAGGAAACCACACAAAATCTCTCTTTCTGTTTAGGCTCATCAAGACGAGCCCGGAATTGGTGGAGTCTTGCACATGGTTCCCGGAATCCTATGTGATTTATCCAACTGACCTGAAGACTCCAGTGGCCCCAGCACAAAATGGGATTCAGCACCTGGTAAACAACACAAGAACGGATGAGAGGGAGGTTTTCCTGGCGTCCTATCAGAAGAGGAAAGAAAGCGGAGAAGGAACTGTGTGGATAGCCAAATCTTCGGCAGGTGCCAAAGGTTAGCATCAGGCAAGACTAAATGGACTGCTTGTGTACTCATGCAGATATTCAAAATAAACCATTTACTAGTGTGTATTCCTGGCAATCAGTGGGTATGCCTTCTTCTGTCCCTCAGATGCTGCCACCTCTCTTCTCCTGTCCCCTCCCCTAGAACTAAGGAGGAAGGACCACCACCCTCCTCCTTTCTCCAGCTTGCTTCCATCTTTGCCTGGCTCTCTGAGAGTGTCTCCCTACTGATGCTCTAGCCCTCTTCTATTTGTCATCTCTTCCTCAAATACAGCCTATTTATCTATATTCTGCCCTCTTGTGGTTGCATCTGAGTACTGCAGCATGAGGCTGCCGATAGAGGTTGCTTTAAAAATAAGACAACAATCAAAAGGGGTGGAATTTTAAAAACCCCACCAGCGTTTTAATTTGGATAATGAAAGTTAAGTGTACCAAGTTTGGTCCAGATCCGTCAAGCTGTGTAGAAGCCTTTAAGATACATACATACATACATAGATTTGTGTATCAATATAAATAAAAATGTAATGTTCATTTGTGGGATTAACATAACTCAAAAACCATTGGACGAATTGACACCAAATTTGGACACTAGACACCTACTAACCCAAGAAGTGATCATCACTCAAAAAAATTGATTTTGTCATTTGCGAGTTGTAGTTGCTGGGACTTATAGTTCACCTACAATCAGAGCATTCTGAATTCCACCAATGCTGGAACTGAACCAAACGTGGCACACAGGACTCCCATGACCAACATAGGCATTGATGGGCATTGACCTTGAGTTTGGGAGTTGAAGTTCACCTACATCCAGAGAGCGCTGTGGACTCAAACAATGATGGATCTGGACCACACTTGGCACGAATATTCCATATGCCCAAATATGCAGACAAATTGAGATTGGGAGAAATAGACCTTGACATTAGGGAATTGTAGTTACTGGGATTTATAGTTCACCTACAATTAAAGAGCATTTTGAACCCCACCAATGACAGAATTGGGGCAAACTTCCCACACAGAACCCCCATGACCAACAGAAAATACTTAAGGCCACTCAGTCCCACTCCCTTCAGCAGAGCAAGAAAACATAATCAAAGCCCTCCTGACAAAGAGCCGTCCAGCCATAGATATAGATAGATATATATGATTCACACACAGAGAGAGATATAGTGAAAGTGACTTGAAAGAGACACCTAAAGAAGGACAATTATATGTTGCATGTTCCAGAGTAGGCAAACCAGACAATCTCGACATCAACACTGACAAAGAAACAGCAAGAAATACCGTTTACCCACAAGCATAAATAAATTACATATATTAGAAACCAACACTTTCTCATTACTTCATTTTCCAGATCACCAGACTGGGCCACAGCAACACGTGGCAGGGGACGGCTAGAATATATATAAATAGAAAAACATAGCCAGGAAACATAGTATTGAGCTTCTGGCCAAAGTATATCATAGAATTGCATTGCAGGACCTATAGATACCTGGAGAAGTGTTCTCTATAGGCCTCCCAATACAACTTCAAGACTTAGAATTGAACTGAAGGATTAGAGAAAGCATCATTCTAGAAATCTGTAGTCTTCTGATGCAATTCTATGGTATTCAAGTTCTTTGCAAACCCACATGCAATGGGATTGCATAACAAGGCCTATCATATATACAAACTGTATTTTAATCTAAGAACTCTTAAGTTTACTTTTGTTGTAGAAATATAAAAGTTGCTCTTTTGTTTTCATTTGTTTAGGTGAAGGAATTCTTATCTCTTCAGAGGCCTCTGAACTTCTGGAGTTCATAGATAATCAAGGACAAGTACATGTGATTCAGAAATACCTTGAGAAGCCTTTGCTCTTAGAACCAGGTCATCGCAAATTTGATATTCGGTAACTTTACTGCATCGATATCTTTAAAGGTTGAATCACAGTTAAGTTTGATTTTCCTGCATTGGTATATATATATTTTCAAAAACAACAACGCAATCTCTATTTCGTTTTGACTTTTAGAAGCTGGGTGCTAGTGGATCACCTTTATAATATCTACCTCTACCGAGAAGGCGTTCTACGGACCTCTTCCGAAGCTTACAACAGTGCTAATTTCCTGGACAAAACCTGCCATTTGACCAATCACTGCATACAGAAGGAATATTCTAAAAACTATGGGAGATATGAAGAAGGGAATGAAATGTTCTTTGAGGAGTTTGATCAGTATCTCATGAGTGCTTTGAACACTAATCTGGAAAATGCAATCTTATTACAAGTCAAAAACATAATAAGGTAATGCAGCATGAGAACTACAGTGAGGCAAAGCGTGCTGTTATTCGTTTCATATTTACTTCACCCTATTCATTTTTATTCCAATTTTAATTAAACTGAAAGATACTCCACTTAGGCAGAAAAAATGAAATGCAAAGATACAGAATGGGGAACACCTGGCTCGACAGCGGTACGTGTGAAAAAGATCTTGTTTAACAACAAGTTAAATATGAGCCAACAATGTAATGCATTGGCTAAAAAAGCCAATGGGATTTGGCCTGCATCAATAGGAGTCTAGTGTCTAGATCCAGGGAAGTCATGCTACCCCTCTATTCTGCCTTGGTCACACCACACCTGGAATCACACTGTGTCCAGTTCTGGGCACTGCAATTGAAAAGTGATGTTAACAAGCTGGAATGTGTCCAGAGGAGGGTGATTAAAATAATCAAGGGTCTGGAGAACAAGTCCTATGAGGAGCGGCATGTTTAACCTGCAGAAGAGAAGGCAGAGAGGAGACATAATGAGGGTCATATATAAAGATGTGAGGGGAAGTCATAGGGAGGAGGGAGCAGGCTTGTTTTCTGCTGTTCTGGAGACTGCATTTCCTTATGGGTTAAATACCTCCCCCTTATAAAGCAGTATCTATTTATCTACTCACATTTGCTTTCAAACTGCTAGGTAGGCAGAAGCTAGGCTAAAGGTCAGGAGCTTACCCCAACCTGTGCTTCAAACTGTCAACTACACATCCTAATTCATCCGTGTTCCGTGCTTTTTCACAGAAGTTGCCTTATGTGTATAGAACCTGCAATCAGCACCAAACACCTCCATTACCAGAGTTTCCAGCTCTTTGGCTTTGACTTCATGGTGGATGAAGACTTGAAGGTCTGGCTAATTGAAGTCAATGGTGCCCCTGCCTGTGCCCAGTAAGCACCCTTTTCTTGTCGCATATTGTTACATGTTAATAAAATTTCCTAGGGATGCCACAATATATTTATTTAAATGTTGGACAACAAACATGTAATTCTGAAGGTTGCCATTGGCTTTATTTGAAAGGAGACTATACACATGCAGAAGTTCCTTTCCTCCCTGGGTGTGGTCATTACCCCTGCATTGGGGAACAAGAAATGAAATTAAAGGCTATGCCTGCAATAGGGTAATTTCCATATTTTACTTGGGGCTAGCCTTGTGGATATCACACTAAAACCATGTAACACAGGCATGGGCAAACTTTGGCCTTCTAGGTGTTTTGGACTTCCAACTCCCACAATTCCTAACAGCCGGCATGCCAGTATGCTTCTGATCTAAATTCAAAGTGCAATAATGACATTTAAAGCACTAACCAGCATGGGACCTGAATACTAGCCAACTTGGGTCTCAATCAAGAGAGAACAGAAGATAATAATAATAATAATAATTATTATTATTATTATTATTATTATTATTTAAAAATCAAACTGCAAAGACTCTGGCACAAACCAGTAAAGATGATCCCAGCAGTGATTGGCACACTGGATGCAGTGCCTAAAGACCTTGGCCTGCACTTAAAAACAATCAGTTCTGACAAAATTACCATCTGTCAGCGGCAAAAGGTCACCCTACTTGGATCTGTATGCATTATTCACCAATACTTCACACAGTCCTAGACACTTGGGAAGTGTCCTACGTGTGATCCAATACAAAAGCCAGCATAGTTGGACAACGTGATTGGACAATGACTGGTAATGAAATGCGGAGGACTTATGGTTTTTATTGTGTTAATTGTAATGAATTTTTACCTGTGTTAAATGTTTACAATGTTTAATTTTTAATGTTGTGGGCATCAAATTGTGCTGTTTTGTAAACCGCCGTGAGTCGCCCTCAGGCTGAGAATGACAGTTTAGAAGCATAGTAAATAAATACATAAATAGTGGTTTTGTTTTGCTGTGTACTAATCTTGTTATGGATCGGATAATAATAATAATAATAATAATAATAATAATAATAATAATAATAATAATAATAATAGAAGACATGTGTCTCTATACTTCTGCTCAAGAGCTGAGATTGTGGGACACCATATTCCCTTCAAACAAGATGATACAGTCTACTACAGGCATGGGCTAATTTGGGTCCTCAATGACCTAAGTGCCTGGGGGGAGGACAGGAAGGAAGGGGCCTGAGACTGTTAGGAATTGTGGGAGTTGAAGTTCAAAACACCTGGAGGGCTGAAGTTTACCCATGCCTGGTCTATTATCATATAATTTCCTCTTAGAGCAGCTGGAAGTACCAACAACCTTGTTCCGAAATAAAACGTAGGTTTCAGCAGAAAGTTGCATGTTCTGGAATTAGAGCATGTGTCTTTTGTACAACTGATACGGTTATTATGCTTGTGCATGAAATTTTTTTCAATCTGTGCTTTATTTATCATTTTAATCCTTCTCTTCTTGGTTTTGATTTTTAGGAAACTGTATCCAGAGCTTTGCCAAGGCATAGTGGATGTAGCTATCTCTAGTGTCTTTCCCCTTAGCGAGATCGTGCAAAAGCAGAGCCAGCAACCGATATTTATTAAATTGTGATGCTACTTTTTAAGAAAAAGACACGTGTGCAACAGACAGGGGAGAACTTCCTCCTGTTGATTCTTGAGACAACGAAGAGATATGGATTTGATTGCTTCACCTGCAGATCATGCCTGGAAAAGAGAGATAAAGACTAGCATCATCTTAGGATTTCAGAAGAGAAAGAGGAAAGTCCAAGATGAGCCAAAGCTGTCCCCTCAATTCTGTAGAAATGTTTACTATAGAAACAGTTTCCGTAACCGAAGCAGCACTCTCTGGGAGAACAGCGTAATGTTGTTTTTTTAATTGAAGGAACAGAAAGGATTTGACTTTTCCCCACCATCCCTCTCCCTCATCTAATAATTTATTCTAGCAAATGGGTGATAGTACCAATGCCCTTCCATGGACATAATAGCTTGAAGGTTTTGTCAACTCGGTGTGCAAGGTTGTTTTGATTTCTTTATCCGCTGCAGTTCTAGTGCCTTAGCTTTTTTCCTAATGACTAACCTAATTCTGTTCTTGGTTGGTTCTTTAGAGAGTTAAAAAAACAGTCCTGTGGGGTATTAACTGTTCCTTGCAAAACTTTGTTTTTATATGTGTGTGTGTTTGTTCTCTGAAAGTCAGTATCTAACAGTTCTAAACGTAGAAGATTAACTTGAAGGATGAAATACCGCTGTCTTCGTTTACCTTCTAATACGTGCTGCTATGGCTTATGACGTAACAATTCAAACATAACCTCTCACAATATCCTATGCAGACCTTAGATATACTACTTTTGGGTTGAACGCCCACAACCAGTACAAGCCAATGGCCCTATTTGCTGGGCAATACTGGGAGCTGTAGTCCACAAAGCAACTACTCGTGATCTTCCGTCTTGGCAAACGGTTGACAATCTCTGTGCATCCGCACACCTGAGCAAGTTGTTTAAAACAGAAAATTTATTAATGTTGCAATCTTTTTGGGTACTTAATTCCGAGTAAGACCCATTTAATATAAGTGGGACTAATTTCAGAGTGAGCATGCGTAAGACAGGTCTGTAAGTATTCAATGGGCTTAAAAAGTTCAGCTTGAATCCAGTAATTCATTTTAATACTATTTGCATTCATTCTTCTTCAGCATTTGCTGTTGCAGAAAAAGCATGTCTGTCCATTGGGACTGAATGCAACTTTCTGTTGAAACATGAACATCATTTGGACTTCACAGCTTTGTATGTTGTTAGCTACAGATCTTACTTCACTGGTTTTTGTTTGTTTGTTTGTTTTGCATGTGGGCATTTTGCTTTCTGCTTTGATTTAATTCCTTCCCTTGCTCTTTATTCTTAATTCGTAAAACAGGAGGTTAAGTGAAACAAATCATTGACAGATATAATTGACATTTTAAAAAACTCAATTTCTCCCTTGACATATCTCTTAATTGTACTGTTTCTAAAACAATAACAATAACAACAATAGGTTTTTATATGTTTTCCGGGCTGTTTGGCCATGTTCCAGAAGCATTCTCTCCTGACATTTTGCCTGCATCAATGACAGGCATCCTCAGAGGTTGTGAGGTCTGTTGGAAACTAGGAAATTGGGTTTATATATCTGTAGAATGTCCAGGGTGGGAGAAAGAACTTTTGTCTGTTTGAGATAGGTGTGAATGTAGCAATTGGCCACCTTGATGAGCATTGAATGGCCTAGCAGTTGTCAAGGTCTTGCTGCTTCCTTCCTGGGGCAATTCTTTGTGATTAGCTGGCCATGATTGTTTCTTGTCTGGAATTCCCCTGTTCTTGAGTGTTGTTCTTTATCTACTGTTATGATGTTAGAGTTTTTTTAATACTGGTATCCAGATTTAGTTCATTTTCATGGTTTCTTCCTTTCTGTTGAAATTGTCCACATGTTTGTGGATTTCATGGGTTCTCTGTGTAGCCTGGGGAGAATGCTTCTGGAACATGGCCATACAGCCCGGAAACCACACAACAACCCAGTGATTCAGGCCACAAAAGCCTTCGACAATACAACAACAACAACAGGACACACTCAATAGTGCAACATAATACAAATATAGCAAAATATACAAAGGTAATATTAATAACAATAAAATTAACCACATTACTCATAAAAAATCAATAAAACCCCAATCAATTAAAGATCCTAAAAAACCCGACAACTGTAAAATAGTGGCTATGTACAATAGCAAAGAGTTCAACAATGACCACTCACTGTCCACAAATATCCCTAAACATGGTCAAAAGCTTGTGTAAAAAAAACCATGTTTTCAGTAGGCTCCCAAATCTCCCTATTTGGGGGGGGCCACTACCAAGAAGCCCTCTCTCTCGTCCCGACGAACCGCACATGAGACGGAGGTGGGATCAAGAGAAGGTCCTCCCTGGCAGATCTTAGGGGCCGCGTCAGTACATAGAAAAAGGCTACAATAAATGCTTTTAAGAGGTAACTGATCCGTTGTGCATTTGACAAACACTATGGATTGATTTAGATGTCATAGCCAAACTATGGTTTTGCCATTGTGAATACGGTTCTTTCATTTCAATTCCTCTCTTTCAAACACTGTTATAATAACAATAATAAATCTTTATTTGTACCCCACCACCATCTCCCCATAGGGACTCAGGGCAGCTCACAGAAACACTCCAAGTGCCACATGCAAACAACAATACATAACCATAAATACAATTATATAACTGCTTGGAGTCCCCCTAGGAGTGAGAAAAGCGGTATATAAATACTATAAATAAATAAATAAATAAATAAATAAATAAATAAGTATAATCAACAGCACATAAAAATCTCACTGATAAAATTATAAAAGTATGAAAATTATAAAATTTTAAGAAGTCCAGATTGCCATTATGTACAAATGGATCAGACGGCCATTGTTGGATTCCAAGTCACCATTGGTCTCACAGTTCAGATCATGGTTGGGAGGTAACCATAGTCTACGCAATGTAAACATTAGAGTAAATTTTGGAGGAAACTAAGATCCTTTATAATGACTCATTCATGGTTTGACCATGACATTAAATATAGGCCTGTGTTTCTCTTCCATTGTTTACTAATGCCAAGGGAGAATAAATGTTGGCACCTACTAGAAATCCCAGCTCAACTTGAGAATATAGGTTACTCCTCACTCCTTGTTACTAACCTAGATACAAAATGTTTATACAGAAAGTTACTTTGAGGAGACTTGCTGATAATCTACTTTGGGAGTGAGTGGAGTCTCTGGGTTGTTGTAGGTTTTTCGGGCTGGTTGGCCATGTTCTAAAAGCATTCTCTCCTGACGTTTTGCCTGCATCTGTGGCAGGCATCCTCAGAAGTTGTGAGGTCTTCTACAATACATTGAGTGGAGTCTGTCCCAATGTTATATCCATTCTTTAATGATGTTGTAAAGTAGAGGATAATATTTCACCCTAAAAATCGAGGTCCTCTCGTCTCCGCAATGTCTGGGATTGTAATAATACCACTTTTGACATTTTTGTAAAATAAGTAGGATGTCAATCACTTGTCTTTCAAACATTTTTTAATATTTTCATAAATGGCTATAAAATGGGAAATTCCCATCAAAAATTAATTTTATTTTAGTATTCAACTTAAAGTACAAAGAGTTTGGTGTGCTACCTTTATGAACTCTAGATGAAATGATAACTATATTTATTTGCAAGGAAGGCAGAGTGCAATAGGAGAATAAATCATTAGAAGTTGTTTAAGGGAGGATTGTTGGTACTCCAAGTGGTAGGCTAGATCATTTTGAACTCAAGAGTAGTCTATGTTGCAATTGTGGTATGGCTAGATAGTTGACTAGGTACTTCTACACTGATCCTATAAGTATTTACTTAGAAAAAGATTCAGCTGGTTACACAGAACATGTTATGAGCATAAAAGAACTGGTGGGCATTCTAGAATCAATTTTGCATTATGGAGACATGGTCATTTCTAGATATTGCATGCTGCATGTCCAAATAGTTCAGTTCAAAGGTTTTTTTGTGTCAGGAAAAAGTAACTTCTGCTGTGATAGAATTGGCTGTCGGCAAGGACATTGCCCGGGGGACGAATGGAAGTTTTGCCATCCTGTGGGAGGCTTCTCTCATGTCCCCCGGATGGGAAGCTGGAGCTGACAGATGGGAGCTCACTTCATTCCCCAGATTCAAACCGCTTTCGGTCAGCAGTCCTGCTGGCACAAGGGTTTTATCCATTGCGTCACTGGGGCTCCTTCAAAGGTATTGGATGATCATTCAAATCATGAAAAGGGAATGATCTTACAAATAAAACAGTAGATAAAAGCGGGTTGTTGTGAGTTTTCCGAGCTGTATGGCCATGTTCCAGAAGCATTCTCTACTGAGTAGACAAAACATTGCGTAGAGCAGTGGTTCTCAACCTGGGGTCCCCAGATGTTTTTGGCCTTCAACTCTCAGAAATCCTAACAGCTGGTAAACTGGCTGGGATTTCTGGGAGTTGTAGGCCAAAAACATCTGGGGACCCCAGGTTGAGAACCACTGGCTTAGAGATTGTGCATCACAGGAAATCTGGCCAATAAAAGCTCTGAGTTACAGCCTGAAAAAATTATTTAGCAATCTCCAGTGATAGAAGAATTAACTGAGATGACCAAGAGCACTCTAAATTCAACACAACATGGTACAAAGTTACTAATTTGCGAATGAAAATGGCATTCCTTTCTCCTGCCCATGTTGATTTTTGGAAATATGCTTTATGGTACTTCATCTTGTGTTAATTGGTAATTTTATCAACTGGATAGTTCTGGATAAAAAATTGTGATCTGCTTCAAACTGCGGTGCATGTTCATTGTTTGCTGATTATGTTTGCTACTGTAATATGAGGTGGGGGGGAGAGAAAACAGTTGTTCAGCTGACCAGGATCCAGCTCTAGTGTTAGCCCAGTTGCACAACCCCTCACATTCTTTACACAACCCCAAAACAGCTCTGGAGGAGTTCCCAGCCCTCTAAGGCAATTTTGGGGTAGTGCGTACTGCAGATTATCTCCTTTCATTCCACCAATGGAAGGATCTCTAATTGCGACTGTTTACTGTAGGATTTAGTCTAATATCTGAGACTCCCTAGTGGCACAGCAGATTAAAGTGCTGAGCTGCTGAACTTGCTGGCTGAAAGCTCAGTGGTTTGAATCCGGGGAGCAGGGGGAGCTCCCGCTGTTAGCCCCAGCTTCTGCCAACCTAGCAGTTTGAAAACATGCAAATGTGAGTAGAATAATAGGTACTGCTCCGGTGGGAAGGTAATGACGCTCTATGCAGTCATGCCAGCCACATGACTTAGGAGGCATCTATCGACAATGCCGGCTCTTTGATTTAGTAACGGAGATGAGCACCACCACCCCCAGAGTTGGACACGATTAGACTTAATGTCAAGGAAAACCTTTACCTTTACTGGGACTCCAGGAGAGTATTCCCAAATACATTCACCCAGGATTAAGCACTGTTGTCCTCAGACTGACTTCTGAATAAACTTGCATCTGGTTATGTCTTACTGCTACTCTCCTGTCCATATTTGCATGACACAAAGTCCCACAGAACTCAGAAAAAGGACCCCTCATGATGATAAAAGTGTGATTATCCACAATAATGATGGGGAATAATTTGCATGCAATGATTTGTTTTAAGTACTTAGTACATCAAATACATTATTTGAGTTCTGGCTGCCAAGTTTTAATGCTCGCACTAAACATGCCTCCATTGCTATTGGCCTAATAGAAATTGGACAGACATGTTTGCAGATCATTGCAGATGATGTCTATTTGGGCATCGGGCCCTTTAACCTTTGGATTTGGCAGTGATGCTATTCTTTGAGCAAATGTTAACTAGTTCTTGCTTTGGCAGACTGTATTCAGTGCAGATGTAACTTTTAACACTTGGCTCCCATAAAAAAAAAAGAGTGCAAAAGCATGCCTTTGATATCTTATGACAGGCATTCAGTTGCCTGATGGGCTTCAGTAAAAGTCTTTATTGAGGACAACAGGTGCAAATTCCCTACTGGCAAAAGGATGCAGCCAGGGTGTTCAGTTTAACAGGGCATTTCTGATTGGAATTCAGTGCAAATGCTTAACTGGGATTAAGGTTGCCAGCTCTTACTCAGCTGTGAGGGGAAGTCATAGGAAGGAGGGAGCAAACTTGTTTTCCGTTGCCCTGGCTTCAAACTACAGGAAAGAAGATTCCACCTGAACATGAGGAAGAACTTCATGACTGTGAGAGCTGTTCAGCTGTGGAACTCTCTGCCCTGTAGTGTGGTGGAGGCTCTTTCTTTGGAGGCTTTGATGGCCATCTGCTGGGGGTGCTTTGAATGAGATTTTCCTGCTTCTTGGCAGGAGGTTGGACTGGATGGCCCACAAGGCCTCTTCCGTTATTCTATGATTCTTAAGTCATCCCTTGATCAAATTTATCTCATACCCTTCCAACTGTCCCAGTTTGGCAGAGGCAG